AATATAAAATACTAGATGTTCCCGTGCGGCTTCATCCGCGTGGAATTACAAAAACTTTATTGTTTACATTTGTCGAATTCTTAACTGCAAATGTCAAAATTTAAATGCACAAATATCAACGAAGGCTTTTGAAATTGGATTACAATTAACGTTATGAAGTTTTTTTTAATATATAGGGTCTAAAGAGTAAAATAAAAATTAAATATCTCTGACCTTATTCTGTTCAAACTAACATTAACGAAAGATTTCCATACAAATAAAATGTACATCTATATTTAAAAAAGAATAAAGAAAATTGGACGTACATTATCATTTGAAACAGATCGTTTTCCCGGTTTAATCTTCGCAGGAATTATTCCATGTCCACGAGTCATTTACAACGCAGTCACTTGCCTCCTTAAGCCGAACACTAAATTGCTAGAGGAACATAACGACTAAATTATGTACTTTAAAACAATTTAGGTTGCAACAGAGAAAACAAAGATTTTATTATGTAGAAAAATTTTATTGCTTTTAATTTGAACAAATTATAAGGAATGTTTATTGATATCGCCAGAAAATTACACTTTAAAATATACATATGAGTCTAGCTTGATAGCCATAACATAAGCCAAAACGCCTATTGTTTGTAACATCGCAATCTGTGATAGTGCGTAAACTATGTTGCTATTAAGATACGCAGGCGCTTTCTACGTTCATTAAGCCTAGTTTATGGCGACCGAGTCTGTGTCTCAAGATACCAACGGATTTCTGAAATGTATAAATTGACTTTGGTACATTAGAAATATATCTTACTATGCGAAATTTAGATGGATGGATGGATGTTTGTTAGAGTTTTTAGCATAAACAACTGAACAGATTTCGATTAAACTTGCCAGAAATGTAGAGGATAGTCTGAATAGGTTACTTGCTTTTGTTTTTTTAAATTCCACGCGGACGGAGTCACGGAGGGTAATATTTTATAATTATACAATTCCAATGATAGTTATAGTTTTTCACAAAATACTATTCTATTTATTTAGGACGAATTAAAAGATTTGTTTTATTTTTTAAAACATTATATATTTTATATTTTTGTTATATCATAGAGGGCACAAATCTCGCAACATTTCCTTTAAGAAAGATACGTTATTCTCATCTTACTCGGGTCATTAGTCAACAAATATTAAAGGGAATGTGATAAATGTCACAGTGTTGCCTTACATCTAAATCAACGAATTACGATGGATTCGGCGATTCATTAATCAGACAGATGTATAATCTTTCATTATTTACGACTATTTAATTTCATTATTAACGTATCTAGAATTAAAGGCTATAATTAGATTTAAAAGATTGAAAGACATTTAAATTCAGAAAGCGTTGAAATATACATAACTCTGTGTCTTGTTAGACATTTTTTGACCTCCAAACCACCTGAAGAAAGTGATGATGCATGATGCAGTTAAATCTGTTAAAACTAGGCACGTAACAGACTACCATATTTACATTATTATATTCGAACATTTCAACGTACTTGTGCAATTTGTACGATACTTGTATCCACATCGTACAGGAAATTAGTCCATTTTGCAGTAAGTGACAACTGGATTTGCTCAATTTGCGAGCGACAGTTTTAAATCGGGCAATTTTCGAGAGCCGCGCGTAATTGTATAATGTACTTTAGGAAAGCTTTCTTACTAGCGACGTGTTTATAAAATCAAAAGATTTAAAATAACTAAGCGCCTAGTCAAAAATTTTAGTGAAATGTGAATACTTCACATTTGATTTTTTTCTTCACATTTTTTTCTTTTTAACGTTTTGGGCTACATTTGAATCGTCTGATAAATAACTTAATTACCGAATAAAAATATACCGATACACTTAACTATAATAAATTTAATTTAAGAACTAATTTTCGCCCGTAACTTCGTCCGCGTGGAATTAAAAAAAAACTGAATAGCGTACGTGTTCTTCCAGACTATCCTCTACGTCTCTCCCAAATATCATTGAAATTCGTTCAGACGTTGATGCTACAAACTCTTACAAACATCCATCCATCCATCTAAACTTTCACATTTATAATATCAGTATGATTAATACTTTAAAAATACGCTCATAAACTGTTTAGCTACTAAAAGTAAATATTAATAAATGCAAATGAAATTCGGGATTCAAGATTCTTAATCAAATACTGAAAAATTCTATTACCGCAACACGCTGAGTTCGTTTAGATTGCTCGTTTCATATTTTAGTCAAATCCCGATTCCGGATGTCTAACTGAGAAAAGAAGAACTAAAGAACTGAATTGAATGCTTTATTTTTTTTATTTGTTTTTTAATTTATTTACACCCACAAAATATCTATACTAATATTATAAAGAGGAAAGATTTGTATTTTTGCATTTTTGTATGTATTAATATAACTTAAAAGCTACTGGGCCGATTTTAAAAATTCTTTCACCGTTGAAAGGTAACTTATCTGTGAGTAACATAGGCTATATTTATTTATTTTAAAATCTTACATATATGTAAATACTGGCGTACGTAACATTTGCTAGTATTTATTTAATAATTTTACGTTCACGTTTTATTTAATTTAAGGAACATAAATGTTTAATTAATTATTTTTTTTATAATATAAGATTTCAAACGAGCAAGCGGCCACCTGAATCAACCTAAATGGAAAGCGACCACTGCCCATAAACATCCGCAATTGCAGATGTGTTGCTTACCCTTCATTGACGGAGGAGGAGACGCACATAAAGAGGTTATTTCCCATTCCTATTTGTCTCCTCCGCCGTCTAATACACTTTTCCTTCTCATCCTTTCCTCTTAAGAAAAGGGTGGAAAGGGAAAGAGACTAAAATAAGGCATCCGGCACCACGTTCATCTGACGAAACGTGGAATTGCTTCCACTTCACGCCTGTTTTCTGTGTGGTCGTGGTATTGCACCGGGCGAGCCGATCCATTCGTGCGAAGATGTTAAAGCGGGCTCTACCACTGTTAAAATGAATCGAGAGTTATTGATTTTTAATTTAATTAAGCTTTTACAATTAAAATAAACAAACTCTACAATAGTGCAATAGACTAAAAAAACATCAATCTTTATTCAATTTTAATGGTTCTTAGAATGAAAACTCGAGTTCTGTTGTAAGTTAACTTGTTATTAAACAATTAGCATATCAAAGAAACATTTCTGCGATCTGGAATCATTGTTTTACATTTTAAATGTTAATTTATTCTTATTGGTTTAAAAACATTAAAAAAACACAACAAGATTTCAAACAAGGACCTTCAGTTTTACGCCTTACAGCTTGTCAAAAAACATGCCTCTTTTATTCTCTTTGAACAAAATACAGACAACAAGTTTTTATTAAGGCGTATTTAGTGGAAGCAGTAAGGTAAAGCATGAAAAGTTTAAACAGATCGTTATTAATTCAGATGAGTAAGCGAGATGCTTCTTGTACGCTCTGAAGACGGAAGATAAGTAAGGATACGTCATTAAAGATAATTAATGGAACATTTATGAACTATAAAAACACACCTTAAAGCTTAATTTCCCTGCACTAATTTCTTTTTTTTTAAATTTAATTTTTATAATCTACTGCATTTCATCCGCGACTTCATCCCCGTGGAATTAAAAAACACCAAAGTGAGAATCCTATGTGTTCTTCCAAGCTATTCTCTATATCTATAGCAAATTTCATTGACATCCGTTTAGCCGTTTAGGCTACAAACTTTAACAAACATCCATCCATCAAAACTTTCTCATTTATAATATTAGTATGATAATTTAAATTAATACGTTATTTAAAATATAAAAGCAATTAATTTCCGTATCTTTTACGTTATCGTTAATCTTTTTGAACTTTGGTATTTGTTTTATTTATACAAGGCCAAAGAAATTTCGAAGCGCCTTAGATAACTGTCAGCAGAATTTTCCGACCCCATAACCTTGCTATTTGACTGACAAGGCGTTAAAGCGTTTTCTTTCGACTTGCCTTTAAAAGTAGATAATATCTACTACGAAAGGTTAGTAATAGATTACACTATTTAAAGATTTTATTGCTTTATATTTAAGTAAATAAAAACACAATATCTCTATTAGTATTAAAACAAATTTTATTACGCAATTTCTTAAATTATTTCAGATATATTAGATTACTTTTCTTCGTGTGTAATACCGCAATCATATTGAATATCAGTAAGTATTCAAAGTATGATTGGAACAGACGAGAATACACCATAAAAAAATTCACAAATTTTGTTTATTAAACGTTATACATGAAAAAAATACGTCTACGAAGCAACCTCGTTGCTACGCCGTAGCGAATAAATGACCACTTATTATTGTTAAAAAGTAACAAGATATCTTTACTGGGTTACCAAGTTGAGAGTTTTATTCAAATAAAATTTTAATGACATTCAATATACACAGATATGATTTTTCACGTTTTTTCATAATTTACTTCCACTCAAAGCGACGAACTTTGTGCGACTTGTTAAAAGTTACTTTTTTGAATTAATTACATTTGCATTTTCATGATTTACCATCCAACGTTCTACTATGATAATACATAAATACTCTCTTTTCGTTGGTTAGAGAGGGTAACTTAATATATACGATTTCTCAAATTTTTAATTACCGTTTTTTTATAACATAAGGTGGCAAACGAGCAAATGGCCACCTGAAGCCGCCAAAATGGCGAGCGACAGCTGCCCATGGACATCCGCGATCACAGATACGTTGCCTACCCTTATCCGACGGAGGAGGAGACGCACGTAAAGAGGATATTGCCCCTTCTTATGCATCTCCTCCACCGTCAAATCCACTTCCCCTTCCCATCCTCTCCTTATAAGAAAAGGGTGTTAAAAAGAAAGGGACTTAAATTAGGCCTCCGGCACCACACTCATCAGACGAAACACGGTATTGCTTCCATTTCACGCCAGACTTCTGTGTGGTCATCTTTGATCAAAGAGTCAATTTATGTATTACAATAAGCTTACAAGATACAAAATTCAAACGCGTTCTGAAGAATAAACTATGGGGACTTTAAACCGTTAGAATTTTTTTAAAGACAATAATTGTATTTATACAGACAAGTAAAGTTGTAATTGTGCTTGAGGAAAGTCCTGTTAAAAACAAACTGAAAATTACCTCGTTGATTTTCTTGACCGCTGTGATAACGTGCCTCACCGCTATCGACTGTCAAAATTATATTCAACTTACCCGCTTGTCCCCTCTGACTTTTCGCCCTCCTGCCGACCGCGGGGGATACGAGACTGAGGGCTCTATCTGCTCTCGCAGGAAGGAGTAGTGTCGGCTGACTTGGCTCGGAATGACGCGCGCAGATCGCCGCCTCAACCACTGAGTCTATGCTCGCAGACCGAGGCAGTTGACCGGCTGAGTCTCGCCTGGGGAATACCAGACTGTCAAATATTCATATTCAAGTACAAGTCCTTTAATTTAATAAAACATCAATATTCTGGGTTGTGCATTTAATGCTCTTACAAATAAAATGCTGTCTCGAGCACTCGTACGGTAAAGCCGACAATCCATCGGTCACGCGGTTATGTGCATTGTACGGTTGCCGTTGCAGATTGTAAATTTGAATTTTTAGCCTAAACGGCTAAACTGATCTGGATGAAATTTGGTATAGATAGTCTGGAAGAACACATACTAACTTTTGCTTTTTTTCATTCCATTCGGACGGATTCACTGGTGTAAGTTAGTTAAAAATATGTTCGATTTCTTTCACCAAAATTAAATATCTTTGCATATAAACTACCGTATGTGCAAATTTAATTTAATCTCATAATTTCTATATTCGTATTTCATATCTGGTATGAAAACTTCGCAAATGTATTTATCACGTCATCCCCGAGGGAGGCGCGGGTCGTGACGTCGCCGGTTCGCTGTTTACCGCCCTATTTGCATTTTAATCGAACTAAAAACTTTCTTATATCCTCTAGGCGTAATAACCGGTTATACATACCTTATAGTACATAGAAATATTTTGAAATGTTTAAATCTTACTTACTATCTTGTCGCAGGAAGCTATAAATTGACTGTTGCTTTATGTGTAACAAACGTTATTGTCTTGCGTTTTAATATTGTTTAAGATAAAATTATTGATTTAATTCCTTTTTCTCGAAAGTAGAAACTCGATGTCATTTGTATTTAGTTCTTTTTAAAATTAAAAGTACGTCAACTTGCATACGACCAATAAGAGCAGAGCAAGCGGCTCAAGTGGCCTTTATTAGCTCGAGCGGGGTTGAGGCGCAGTTCAGTGCTTAGAGGGCGACGTTTGTAGTGACATGTTGTGGTGGCGAGTCGATTGAGGAGAGTAGTGTAGTAGAAGTACGAACAGGTGCCACGAACCCGCTGCTCGGTCTTGCTTGTTGATTTGCTATGTGATAAGTGTAGATTCCGAATTATATTGTGTTAATCCGTGTCTCTAGTGTTTTAATGCTCGCACTTCACCCAAATGACGCCCACGAAACCAAGACTCGGTAGCAAAGATGTCGGGGAGAAAGACCCAACTCCGACATATTATAAATGTTAAAGTTTAGATAGATGGGTGTATTAACGTTTGTTAAGAGATACTCTGGAAAACACATAGGCTACTTACTTTTTTTTTTTTTAATTCCACTCGGAGGGAGTCGAGTTATCAATAAATTAGCTGTCGCCTGCGACTCTGTCTATGCATAATTAAGGAATAAAATTAGTAGACTAATCAACATCTGTGCCACATTTCAGTGAGATCTTCTGTTCCGTTCTGGGACTACGTAATAGCAAACATCAATTCCATATAGACTTTCGCATTTATAATATTAAGATATGTTGTGAATTTGCTCTAACTAAAAAGTTCAGTTCAGCGAGAAACTTAATTTATTCAACATGTAAAATTAATAAAGTGTTCGAGAATTGTGTGCTTTAAGACTTAATAAACTAACGCTGAATTTAAGTGCTGAAAATTGTAAATTATGAAATATAATAAATTAAAACCGTAGACGTTTAAACTGCGAAGTTTTACAGTCATTTACAAGCAGTAAGAACAAACGGTTTTATAGGGCTAGTCAGATTTAATGGGAGTTTAATCTTTAGTTATGTGTTAACATTATAAATCCTTTTACCAAATAACCATAGTTTATTTATAATTTTAATATAAACAAATGAATTACGATGATCATTCTTGATAACTTCTGTAATGTGAATACAAAAGTTTACTTCGTAGAAATCTAAGAAAACATTCGTTATAAGTACCTAGTAGTTGATGTTAAGAGCGGGCGCACACTTAACTACCGCACAACTGTTGTGCTATTAACGATTGTCAATTGTTTCGCAGCCAATTCAACTGTTTAGTTCCACAACTAAATTCGAGTAGTGTCCGCACCTCCATATAATCTCATAGGAATCAAAGCGACACTAACCTACTACGCAATAGTTTAGTTAAAAGTGACCATATTTTATGTAATGGCTTGCTTCGCGTATTCTTAAATGTGTAAAGCATACATATCTACTTAACAACTTCATCACCAGCTCACTATATGTCCCCACCGAGGGGCTTGGAGCCTACCCTAAAGTTAGGGTGACTAGGCCATAGTCAACCACGCTGGCCAAGTGCGTACTTAACAACTTAACGCATAGTATTATTTCATCAATAGCTTTGGACGTGTGAAGAATATATCAACTTAACTAACTTAGAAATGCGTGTTTCGAATACTTTTTTAATGTAGTACACTTACTGCTTACTTAGGTAGAGTACAGCAGTTACAATTACGTCGAACTTTGGAGAGACCGCATGGGTCCTTGACAGGCACAGAATGAAACAGCTAGGGGCTCGACTATAATGAGTTTTGATTAGCAGAAAAAATATTATATCACACATAGGGTTTCACCTTAAAAGACATACCCAGTTTTTATATACATAGCTTAAATTTAAAGTAAATCGGTTACAGTTTACGGTAGAAGAGTAAACAGCTACCTATTAAACTAGCGCGTACTATCTTTCGACTGCATTATCACTTTCTTCAGTTGGGTGGGTCAAGCGCTGGCTTAACAAACATAAAAAATATATATATATTATTCCATAACTCTATATCCCAGCGTGGATTTTTGATACATGAAAAAAGTACTAGTGTAAATATATATATTTGAGGTTATAAACATCATGTTTTAACTGATTTATAGGAACCAACTCTAAGTTATTTATTAAGCCTGCTATATGTTATATCGTTTTAACGCTGTTTAGTAATCCTGATTTAATTATTTCTCCAAACAGTTTATCGGGGAATGCCAATAAAGTGCGCTATCATTTTTACTTAGCCTGTTCCTAAGACGTTTATTGCGAGGGCGTTGTTTATTACTAACATTATTACACAATGGGAAACTAATGCCCGTTCAAGTTGCGACGAATTATAAGGAAAGGGTTTCCATTGAAAGTAAGTAATTTGACACTTTTAAGGTTTTATTATAAAACATTTAACTTGTCAAAAGCTGTTGTTGATTTTTTCATTATACTTCATTCAAAGAAGGTTTTTATTCATTTTCGACATAGGCACAATACTACTAATAATTTACGCTAAAAAAATTACTTCAAAGCACAGGTAATACAATACTTTAATAACTTAAAAGTTTTCAGTGTTTTAACTACCATAAAACACTCTTAAGCACAATCTATTCTAATATAACAAAGAGGAAAGATTTGTATTTTTGTATGTATGGAAATAACTCGAAAACTACTGGGCCGATTTGAAAAATTCTTTCATCGACCAGTTTCAGACCCTGCGGGGGTCCTTCTTCAGGGCGAGGGTTAAGGATGTATCGCGGTCGCGTCGCACCTCGCACTGCGGGCGAGCGCTCGAAGGGCGCGGCTTAAGGTACAGTTGCCATTGCGTGCGCCGGCGGCGACGTTGTCGACGAGCTCAATATTGATTAGTCATTGTTGATGTTGTTGCCATTAATGGCAACTGCACCCCCGGTGCCCTCCGCCCCCTTCGAGCGCTGGCCCGCAGTGCGAGGCGCGACGCGACCGCGATATATCCTTAACCCTCGCCCTGAAGAAGGACCCCCGCAGGGTCTGAAACTGGTCGGTGCCGTCACCGGAAAAAGATAAGTGTACGTGAGTAAGCCGTAAATAGTTAATTATAAAATGTCTCACGAAAGTTTAAATAATTTAATTCTTTCACCATTAAAAAGCTACGTTATCAGTGAGTAATATGGCTATTTTTTTTATTTCTTTTTAATAAAATACTAGGTTTAACGAATATTTAGTTCTGTGTTGAGACATCGGTCATCAGTAAGTCAATTATTGTTTTGTTTAACTACAAAAATTAATAAGGAATAATAATACGTATTTATATTTTATTTTCGTATCTTACGATAAAGTTTCGTTATCCCAGAGTTATGTTTTATAATGGAATGTCATGAACATGTATTATAATTTTGCAACATTAATTTAATTAAAATGGGTCCGTTTGCGGAATGTTTTGCAGAAAGTAATGCCTTAAGCTTTTAAATGTGAATAAGATGAAAGAAGTATTGTATTATTTTATTCAAATGTTATTTTAGTTCTGTTTTTGTTAATGTAGTCTGGAAATTTAATGAAGGGAATATATGAATTGTTTTAGTAAGGATTGTAACAAATTTAACTTAATGTTTTGGAATTTACAAACTTAATGAAGTCATATGTAGCTTAAATTTATACGTAAGTTTGTTTATTAATATTTTAGAATGTTCAATTTGAAGCTGTGGTTTGATTTCCGGTGGGACTAAATGCGGTGAGTGTCGGCAAGCTGTTAATTTGTGTTAACACTGACGCTGCGCTTTAACTTCGTAATTAAAATGCTATGTACTGTACGTTATTTTTAAGTTTACTTTTTAATTATAATATTAATTTATATTCAACAATAAACATGAAAAAATGACAGTAAACGCCTCAGTGTTTTTACAGTAATAAAAAAATCTCTGTAAATATACATACATATTGTTAATCGATTCATTTCTCCAAAGTTAGTTACTTATAGATAGTTTATTTGTTTTTTTATTCTTACTATTGCATTTTGACGTAAGTAAACAATAAACCAATCTGTACACCATACAGAGTTATAAAATTGATTAGTGAGTGATGCGGGTAACAGCCCCGGCGACAGGACAATGAAAAAACGTCGAGGCGACCGTCAAATTGCGTCGATTCGAATTACACGCTCCAACAAATATCAAATCACGTTCCGCTTTAACGCTATTTGTATCGGGATTACGTGTGTACATGTTTGATTTTTTTTTTGTAAAATGAATATGTCTGCAATTGTATGAACATTCGTATGTTTGTAATACAAATTTTTATAATATTAGTATAGGGTGCGCGACAGTACATCCGCCGAGGCGATCATAGTCAAACATTCTTTTCTCGAAGCGCTTCGGGGTAGTTTTGATAACCCTGTAATTTCATTGTATACGTTATGAAATGGTAGTGGATAATGGGAAATTTTTAACATCAAGAATTGAAGAATACTGGAAGTAGATATACCAGAATTCATTATGTTGTCAAATAACCTTTTAATCACGCCTAGAAATTTCCAAATTATAGCTAGCTTCACTTTTTCATACAATTGTATGTTCAATTACTATACTTTACAGAAACTGCGTATCTTTGTCTTTTTATCTAAATCTTCGAGTACAAAATAAACATTAACTCAAAATCATTTTTAAATCGAACAGAATGTGAGGTCTTTGCGTGTCAAATTTGAATTGCAGAGTATTGTACGAGTTCTTTTATTGTAACAAAATTGAACATAGAATTTATATTGCAAAAACTGTCACAGTTTACATGTGTATTTGTAAATATTGTTAGTTGGGTTCATACGAGTGGATAATTCGACAAGAGCGTTGTCCGCACCTGCGACACGCTATACCCGCTTCAGTGTCGAAAACCAACCATTTTCTGAACTGTTTATTGTTTGTATTAATACTTTATTTTTTGCTAAGTTGTTTATTTAAAATTGAGTGACATTATAAGTTAAAAATTTTGTTTTTGTTTAATAAGACTTTATCATCTCCCCTGCCTTATCCTACTCCCGTAGGGTCGGCGCACCGGGTTTTCGTCCTCCAAAGCACTCTATCATCCGTCATCTCAGTCATCACTCCCTTCTTGATCATGTCACCTTTCACGCAATCTATCCATCTCTTGATTTTAATAAGACTATAAGAAAGCTTATTATTTAGAAATATATTTTAATGTGTTCTTATACATGTTATTTTAAGTTAAGTTAAGATTTAAGTTCATTTAACTTTTAAAGTATTATTCTGGATTTTTGTCTTTATAAATGGTGTAATATTGACTAGGAAATTAATGAAAATGTTTAGTTTTATTTATTGCTTTATTATAGACGAGCTGTTCCCGTGCGACTTCATCCGCGTAGAATTATGAAAATTTTATTATATTGTTCACATATGTCAAATTATCAATTGCAAATGTTAAAATGACACGACATGACAAACCTTGGGAATCTTGCTTTCTTGATGTTGGCAGCAACTTATGGTATCTTTCCCACATTAAGGTTTTTGCCCAAAATATTTACCCCCTAAGTTTAATCGCGTGGAAATATATAGCCTAAAGCGTGACATAAGTGTGGGTTTATTAAAAAAAAGGGTTATTCAAAAATATACTGTAATTGCAAATCTTAGGCCACAAAGAAGTGTGTGTTTACGCTTTATTATAATAGTATAGATATAGTTTAATTAATATAGAAGATTCATGACATGGCATAGTGTAAGAGTTTAGCTGTAATTTATTCCAGACGTGGCAGTGAGGCGGCGCTAACGAACGTGATTTGCATTTAAATCGCACATCTCCGAACTGACGGAGCAAAGAAATGTTACATCAAGTTATCACTAAGTAGTAGTGTCGCTAAACAAAGTGCTTGTAGAAATTAAGTTAAAAATAATATAGCTGTAGCATGCGATTACATTCGTTTAAATTTAATTAAAGAAATAAAGTAGTTACGAAATAAAATACGCTTTAAAGATTATCAAAGAGTATAACCTAAATGTATTATATATTTCTGAGGTCCACAGAAAACCCGGTTGTAGTATACAATAGCGGGGAAACAAAGTTGGTGTCCAAGTTGAAGCACAAATGGTCGAAGTTTTCCAAATTTGTAAAAAAAAATTTTTTAAATTTCTATAACAAAAGATTTCTTAAATCTTCGCTTAGGGTGATATATTATTAAATGTAATTTTAAGATTTTTGTTTCTGTCAATTAACCCAAAAGAACTTACTACCATATTTATCTACTTAATAAACGTAACGATGGAACATAAATATAATATTCTAGACTAAGTAAATATTATTAAGTATTCTAAGTATCCATTAGCAGCCAAAACCTTTCACAAAAATGTTATTCAAACATAATGTTCGAGTATAAAGATAATATGAAGAATCGATAGCGAGAAATAGGAAAAAAGTATTTTTCGACCGTATTTCTTTTCACATAAAAGCTTCTCTATCCCGAAAATTTAACTAAATGTTATACCGTTAACATTTAGTTAGAATAGAGCATGAGGCAAAACTCACGTGTTTTTAACAATTCAGTAAAGTAAAATTAGCTATTCGCAGGCTAAAAGCTTTCTAAAGTTTTGAAACTTTTCGAAGATTGAGTTTTCATTCACATTTTACTTTTCAATAATTTTTGTTGGATTCCGCGGCTCTTTTTAATTGAATTAAAAAAGATCAATAGCCTATGTGTTCTGCAAGACTATGTTCTAAATGTATATCAAATTTCATCGAGATCCGTGTGGTTTAATCTACAAACTCAAACAAACATCCTTCTAAACTTTCGCATTTATAATATTAGTAAGATATCTTTTAACCGTTCAGTTTAAGTTACATAATTATGTCATCATCTCTTTCTTGAAACTCTTGTAAATCTAAAAATCAAAAGACCGTAGCAAACAAACGAAGTACACGAGTCTAAAGTTTTACTGCTATCATTATGCAAATCCCTTCTTAAGATACAAGAAGGAAGTTTCAGGTGTTCGTTGATTATTCAAGCTTCAAGCTGTTACTAAACACCGCGTCTGAATTAACAGGCACGTATTTATATTACGTTAGATAAGGTACTGTACACAAATAATGTATTTTAATTTTAAAATATCTTTCTTTTACGTGAGTTATTTCAAACTTAATATGTGACTTAATGTGTGATGGATGTTTGTTAGAGTTTGTAGCCTAAACGGCTGAAAATATTTTGATGTAAATTGGTATATATATAGAGGTTAGTAAAACACTTAGGCTACTGACTATTGTTTTTTTTATTCACGTGGATGTAGTCGCAAGCTGAATCTAGTTGAATACATGAAAATGTAATTTACGGAATAAGCAGAAAACATATTCTTTAATAATTATTGATTAAATACATGTTAGTTACACCATAATTAGCGTATTTATATTTTTATATATAATTATCTCAATTTACTTGTAAATATATATAAAATTCATTTATATTTATGTATTTAAATATAAAAAATGGGTCAGATTAATAAAGCTTCGATGCTTTTAATCTTAATTTGAAGTTAGCGTACATTTAATTAGAGATCCCGATCTGTTGGCGGCGGGCGTGACGGGAAATCTTTAGTAGCGTCAATTTAACGCATTTCCTTTACAGAATCTCATGTCACGTAGCACTAAGAATTCGCACAAATTTCTTAAGTAAATACGAAAAGTTTTCAATGTATTCTTCTAAATATTGAGATATACTGCTTTGTTCTTTTATAATTGTTTTTTAATAAAAAGAACAGTAAATAACACAATAAAACAGTTACTGCAATTTTACACTAAGATTCGGAGCGATATTTACACGTAATGTTAATGTTAATTATTCTTTAAATTTAAATATTCTTGACAGCATAAGTTGGTAACAGAAAAAAAAAGTATTCTGTATACCACAGAAAATGGGACCTTTTTAATTTCTCAATTATTAACAAGAATTTAGGAACGAGATGCAGATTAATTCGTGATACTTTAAAACTTGTGACTGATATTTCATCCAAAGGAAGCCAGGAAGTGCTTTTGAACAACTTTCAAAAGTTCACCACAAGTTAGGCTGGATGAGTGATTAAGTTAATAGCTTGAAGTTTGTAAAACAAGACTTCATCTTATGAAATATTAATGAAATTACACGGAAGGAGAAATGTATTCAAATGTGACATACTAAGATTTTAAACAAATAAATTGAGACTACAGAATTGTTATCTATAATAATATTTTTCAAGGAAAAATTTGTGTTTTTGTATATATTAAAATAATTCAAAAACTACTGGGCCGATTTCAAAAATTCTTTCACCATAACAAAGGTAATTTATCTGTGAGTAACGTAGGCTTTTTTTATTAACGGGGAAGAAGTCGCGAGCAACAGCTAGTAAGTATTAAAATTATAAAAACCTATATTTTTATCTTATACAATAACAATTTTGTACAAACAACATTTATCATATCAACAGAATTCAGTTACAAATAAAAAAAACATTCACAGTACAATTGTTCACGTTTGTACACAGACGAACATGTGGGATAGAAACCACATAGGAACAAACAAAAGCAAACTAAACCATCGTAACATATAGCGTGGTTTACAGTGCACTCAGTCACAGCGGTATATCAAAGAAAAATAAATGTTTGTAGCACATCTTTACAGAGAAATCGTTGTCCATTTGCTACGGCGTAGACTCGTAGCAGGAAAGTGTAGAAGCAACGGTTTTAGAGCTTTTAGCGCAAATATAGCTTTGTTTCGGTCGGAAATTAAAAATCTGTTCACATTTTGCGGCGAAAACATTAAACTGTAACAGCTTTAGCTTAAGTGCACAAGAAAAGAGTAATTTACTCGTATATATGTGAATTTTTTTCGAGATTTAGAATAAAATTTGGTAGTCCGGTTTTATAAGAAAGTATAAAAAAAATATACTTTCGAATGGGTTAAAGGACTTAAGTAGTTTGAAATATGATACTTAAGAATTAATTTGAAATAAAATTATACCTCTCCCAGCTGAGCCGTCTCGGGGCATCCGCAGCGACCTCTTCAGGGGCTCCCCGTACGCCCTGAGTCAGTAACCTCGCCAGCCTCGAGCCCGCACTCACTGTACTACTGCTGGACACTGAGCCACGTGGTGTTGGTACTCTGTGCAATTATAAATTAATTAAATTATTTGCCATTTGTTAAATTATGATATGACATTATAAGACTATGGGAAGTAAAGACGAATAAAATTGGTCTTCGGCATTCATCAAACGGAACATTTGAATTCACGTCTATCTTCAGTGATATTACATGGGTCGAGCAGGCTTTCAGTACAGCTAGACTGGATCATTGTAGAATTAAGGTTTTAATCATTGTTAATAGTATAATAAAAAAATCAAAACGATGTTTTTATATACTTCGTTGATGTGCTCCTTTCTGTGTTCTTACTTGAAGATTATCAATTAAAGGTAAATCAAAAAAGGAATGTCGAAAATATATCAAATTTGTAACTTCAGGGAATAAAAGTTTAAGTATATTTAGAAGTACTACAATATATTAAAAAGGAATTTTGTATTTTTATCCAACTTTGTAAATCCTTGTTCGAGTAATACCCAATAAAGTTTATCAATTTGTCGTCGATATAAAGATAGCAGACAGTTCAATACGAGCTTAACAGTCGGACGGTCGCGGCTGCAGCGCGGCTACTTTGCAATATATTGCACAGTTGTCGACTTAAAGTTTTACCGCTATTTGTAGTCTAGATTGGAGCTAACTGAGAAAACTTTTCAAGAAAAACTAACTTTGTTTAAGAAAATTCATGCATTTAAATGACCGTAAACTTCATCTTGACTTTACTTTTAGGAAGATTTTTTTAGTCAATAGAAATTAGATATAAATACAATAAAAATATTTATTCAGAAACCTGATCAAGTATTTACAATAGTCAAGAATTGCAATGTGTTTAGATATTTCATTTGGCATTATTAATAAAAGAAATGTGTTTGTTTCACAATTCCAACCACTCATAACTTGTAATAATTATTTGGAAAAATCATAATGTACAAAAACCTTTACTATAAAAAAATGCATACGATTCATGAAATTCCTTATGGAATAGGTCAATAACCTTTGAGAACGAGAAAAATTGGGTCTATCGAACAATAATTCAACAGCCATAAAGTGCCAAGTCGTTCCTTCGGCATACTCGTAAAATGCTTTCAAAGGTTACGCTGCTCGTACTAAGCTTATTAGAACGTTGAACGAATATCGATCTTACGAGTAGATAGTAACTGTATCAAATACCTTCACAATACTAAGCTGCACACCTTTGACTAAACTCTCGCACATGTGCGTTTCTCGATTGTTTCGCAGACCATTCAACTGTTTTTATGCACAACTAAAAATCGATTTTTGTGCGCACCTCCATATCAGCTCAAAGGAATCAAAGCGTGACTAAACAGTTGAGCGATAGTTTTCTCAAAGGTGTGCGCGCGCTCTAAATCGGTTTTAATTAATATAATCTGTGGCATCAACGAAATCTACGTTAGTGTTTAAAATTAGTTCATAGCGTTAATAGCGTAAAAAATCAAATACGTAGTTAATTTTCTTACTAACATGGTTCAATCTATATACATATAATAAAATTGGAGTGTCTGTTTGTAATATCAAAGATGATGTACTTGCGTTGCTGATAACGAAAATCGCATTAAATTTTTTTGTCTGTCTGTCCGCAAGCCGCGTTTGTTCCGGTTAATCTCCCAAACGGCTGGACCGATTAGGACCGGACTATCACTGAATAGTAGCTGACATAGACGGGCATGTTATAGACTACTTTTTATTTAAACATTGCGTGGACAAAGTCGCGGGCAACAGCTAATTAATAATACATATTGTCTTTATAATCATGTTGATTTACATTCAATATTGTTATTCAATAAATAGATTAACTTGTAGACACTTAATTAGTCAGCGAAACAAGTTTGCGACATTGACGGAGATAAATGATAAACTTAGCTTTGAATTCTTAATTATCTTTTAAGCGATTTTAAAACAACTTGAAGATGTAACTTAGAAGGAAATTCAACTACAATTATATAAAGGTTTTTATTTGAAATAAATGCAGTCTACCTTTTCGCGTATATTTCCTTTGTAGAGGAACCCTTAGGGTTACTTACAATGTCATTTATTGTACCAAATCTCCAAGGATATTTTAACTATAGTTAAAGAACTGTGAGTGATACAGTGACTTCTACACATATATTTATTCTTTTACAGAATCATCCTGTATATCGCCCATACAGGATGATTCTGTAAAATGTTGAGAGAAATTCAGCCGAAATTATTTTCCATATACAATGAATGAAATTATTCTGATGGAGACCTTTTTAATAAAAAGTGGGTCTTAAACAAAACACCGGCTTCACCCTGTATGTGACATAAAGGGACGGCTTATAGAATTTAAGGGCTCTTTGTCAATTAATTTTCGACCGGTCATTCCGTCTGACATGTTCTTAACATAACGATACAATGACAGTGCGAATGCTTGGCACAAAAATGTATAGTCGGAAATATTTTGATTGTGAAAGAATATTCTAAGATATTTTAATTGAAAATATGTTGGAACTGGTGTGGAGTAGAGTCGGCTAAACCTCTATTTATGATTTCTCCATATTTGCATTTTTAAGTAAGATACTTAGTTAAAAGTTTAATACTACTTTTTCCTGTCTAGAAATTGTAAAGTCTGTGGTAATCCAATCATTAAAAAATAGTAACAGAAAACAAATGAAAAATACATTTTTTATTCGTACAAAGAATGAGCAAAGCTTTGAAACAATAACATGTACTCTGAAAATTTAAATCGGAGGACAACGGAAAATAAAAAATAACAACGTAAGCTGTTTGCGGAGAATTTGAATACTAAAACTTTTTACTGTGTAACTTTGTCGCTTTTGCAAAAAGTAAAAGATTGTTAAATACTCGAAAAGTTTTTACGCGAAATTACATGTTTCGGCTTTAATCATAAAAGAAGTTTAAGTTGGCATACTTATAAAAGTATTTTATGGTTAAAGCATATTGTTTACTAATTTTATTAAACAAAAATAATTTATTATTTTATACATACTAATACTATAAAAAGGAAAAAAATGATCTTTTTCTTGTGTTGAAATAACCCAAAAACTACTGGGCAGATATCAAAAAGCCCTACACCATTAAAAAACTACGTTATCAGTGACGAACGTATATATTTTCTTGCGGACGTAGTCCCGAGCAACAACTATTCTTTAAGTAAATTGTTTTATACCACAGTACAGTGACACTAATCCCTAAATAAATAACACATCGAATTCAATCGCATAAGAACAGTAACAGAATATTCGACATTAAGAACGTTGGCTCTAAAACCATTCATTCTATAAGAAATGAGATCTCATTAATCTCAAGAAATTACATTAGTAATTTAGTTTACATTAGTACAAAGACGAAAACTTTAATCTTATTATAAATTACATTATTTCAAACACTAACGAAGACAGGAGTAATAAGTTATCACTTAATGACCTTGAGAAGAATTTCGCTCATTAAAATATGTACATTTGGAACAGAGCGAATTAATTAACTTACTATAGTCATTTGTTAAAAATAATTTAAAGGATAGAGAAATATTAAAAGATGTTAGTATATTTACAGTTACGAAATCCTTTATTATAATGTGGCATTATCATATTAATATTTTAAAGAGGAAAACTTTGTTTGTTTGATAACTCAAAAACTACTGGGTCGATTTTAAAAATTATTTCATTGTTAGATAGGTAATTTATCTGTGAGTAACATGGGCTATCTTTTTTTAAATTTAACGTAAACGAAAACGTAAACGTAAACGAAAACGAAAAAATTTTGACATTTACTTGGACATTTTTAATAAAAAAATTAAATAGGTTGTTGATAAAATAATTTATTAAAAAAAAGTCTCGAACTCACCACTAAAATATTGGTTATCATTTGATTGTAGGTTTAAATCCGTTCACTTAACAATTTGAACACTGGGGATTCAAAGAAAAATGTGTCATTATGTTTTCACAATTTTTATTATCTCTTGCGCTAATGTCAATGGGTCCTAACAACTTAGAAAAAAAAATAAAGCATTTTAAATTAACCTTCAAAGCACTTTACGATGTCCAAAAAAAATTGGTGTCTTAATGTTGACACGAATCGAAATGTCTGAAGAGCAATTAACTTCATTTAGAAGCACTTGAGGACATCAAAGTGAATTGAAAAGTAGACGGTTTAATAGAGCGTTTAATTTTTAATTCAATAAACTGTCCTTTAAAACAGTGAATTATTATTTATATTTAAAATATTATTCTTTTATTGTCTTTGTACAGAACTTAATAACTATATTTCTTACTGGCTGTTGTTCGTGGCTTCGTTGGCATGAAATTAAAAAATAATAAAAATTATAGTCTATGTTACTTACAAATAAAGCTTTATAACGGTAAAAGAATTTTTAAAATGGGCGTAATTTTTACGTGAATTGAATACATACAAAAATACAAATCTTTCCTCTTTATAATATTAGTATAGAAGTAAATTAAGTAAAAGAGTAGTTCAATATGTAGAGAATTTGAATTAATTTCATTACTTCATTTTATGAGAATTGTTACAAAACACTCGATACACAAAAGGAATGTTTTATTCATCAAAAGTAAATTAACAGAAGTTTTCAAATAAAATGAGAAAGGAATGACGAAGAATTGAGGAAGCAACGTAAATAGATTGAAAAACGTTATACAAAAAGACTGTTTCTTAGAATAAATATTCGCCTTTTAACTTAGTCAATAACATTACAATGTATATAAATTATTTATCAAAGTTAAATAAGAAATAATATGTCAAGAATATTTTATTATCATGAATTTGCTTCGAAACGTTTTTTTATAAATCAAATTGCCTTTTCTATTCATATATTTCATACTACAAGAATTATAAATAAAAAATAGTAGAGTTTCATACATGCTGTGTACAATCAGGTAATCTGGCTGTGTTACATTCTAAACGTTATAGTAGCTTGAAAAAATAGTTTGTGATACATGGTTAATTTCTATTTATTATTTTGTTGTTAACATAACTCTCTATTACCTTATTAGGTACTAGCTGTTCCC